CTGGTGATGGAGCTTGTGCCTCTGGAGGAAGAGTGGCCTGCAGGTACACGAGCTGTGCCTCTTGTCGACAGCTTGTCAGTATTTGAGGCTTCCTGTGTAGCACCTCCTCCTCCTCCCGTGCTGATACCAGATCAGCTTGGTCGTGGTCAGCGGACTGGCATGCACACAGGCTTTACAAGGACATCTAGTGCAGTGTTGCTTGGCTGTACTGAAAAGGGAGGGCTCCTTGGCTAGCAATAAAATGGGTTTGGAAGTGCTATGCTGGGAACCTAAGCTGGGAAGGTCTCACATGTGTGACTAGTTTTCTTTGTGCAGAAGGAAGGAGAGAGAACAGCCAAGGCTGTAAGCGTGAGGGACCCTTCTGTAGGAGACGGATGGAAACTGCAGGTGACTCACATTACCACGTAGCTGCTTTGAGAGGGCAGGACAGATAAGCTGTCTGCAACCAGGTTAGTGTCCTGTGTGGGAGGTGAGGTAGGAAAAAAAAAAAATCCCTTTTCTAACAGAAATGAAAGGACCCAAATGGCCCAATAATATGGACCAAGGGACTACCCAAAACCCTAATATTGGGTTGGGTGCTTGGAGCAGACTACTCAGCAGGGGTGAAGCAAGAAAAGGTCATTTTGAGGACAACCACAAGCCAATGCTTGTCTTGGAGCCCATTTTCCTGCTGCTGAGCTATAGCTGGAGACTGTGGATTTTAACCAAGAATTGAGTATTACAAGGGCAGCAAAATGGGTCGAGAGTGCTGTATGGCCCAAGGGGAGGGATTGGTAGCAGGGTATTGAATTGGTGTTCACTACAGGTGAAGTATCTAGTAGTGAATGCTCTAGCCATCCATTTATCCTCAGTACTTGACTGGTTGTAATGGTTCTTAATTCTAGTAATGCTAATATTGGTTGCTTATAAAACATAGAATTATAGAATCATTAGTGCTGGAAAAGATGGTCAAGATGATAATATCCCAACCATAAACCCCTCACCACTGCACCTACTAAACATGTGCCTGCTCTGGCTCTTCAAACAAGCAAGATTTCAGTCAGGAGGAGCCTACTCTCTCTGAAGCTTTGTGGTAGATGCTTGAAGTGATTAATGGAAGAG